TGTTGACCTGGCCACTCAAGGCGATTGCTACTCCGTGTAAACCGCTGGACGCCTTGAGGTTGAGTAGCTATGCGGTACGTTGATTGGTTTTGTATCACAGTTAGGCAGTCGGACTTCGGATAGACAACAGATGTCGACATTTTAGTCGTGCAGTGAACACACTGTGATGCACCAGCTTCCTATGTCTAACAATGTTCTACCATTCCAGCAAGCTACGTGGATGCTGAATCTGGTGTGCAGATGATTTGGATTCTCAGCTTGTTACCCCGTCCACTGGGAGAACGCAGAGCGCGTCGCTTTCCCGGGAACGCCGTAGCATAAATGCGATGTAACATTGTAAGACGATCCATGAAGAAAATTGGGAATGAGGTAATGAGTGACATTCACAGCGTCGCTCAGCTCTTGTTAGAGAGTGCACCTCTAACCCTTGCACAACCAAGTGCGACCTGTACAATAACACGGTAGAATAGTCGGTAGCCAGAGATCGTGTAGTATTCGGAATAGGAATCGAAATCGGACTGAAAACCCACTAAATAGCGCCAAATCAGGTAGAACCAAGATAAGCTGTGGATACAGTTAATTCTATTCAGAAAATCATGCAAATATATATCACAAGCCGTAAACAACCATTGGTTGATTCTTCAATGTCCAATCGACGACGATATGTTTTGTTTACCTTCTTGCATTCAGCCAATCCGGCTGGTGCCAATCGAGACTACAGGATTGGTCGGTTATTTCGTTTCTTGTTTGGTTACCCGGAAGCTGTACCGCGGTGAGTGCGCACTCGTTACACGATCACCACAGACCGTCAGAACGGTTCTTAAGCCCTTCGCAAAGCACAGCACCAGTCCAGGATCCCAGCGTATCCGTGAGCTAAAAGGATTGGTAGCATTCCTCAAAGCTTGTCCTACCAGGACGAGTAGGCAAATGGCAATGACCTTATTTGATGGCGGGCCACGTTCACACACGTCACGATGCTGTCAGCAGACACGTATAGCTTTTAAAATGGATATCGGTTGCCAACCGGAAACCCCACCACGTTCTCTAGCATCGCCGCTGATCGTACGCGGTCAATTATTCAGTTAGTGCCTACCACCTACTCACGTCTAACCACCAAGGTGGCCGTTCTCCTCTCCGCGACCTGGAGACGCGCTCGGTAGCACTCAGCTGTGCTATCCGAAGACAGTTCATGGGCCACTGGTCGAGATTACGTGAGATCTATCTTACACATTCCATTTACTCTTTGATCATTGTTCGACCTAAGAGTCAGTCAAAAGACAGTAATTAAAGCACGACAGCACAAAAGTGATGCCCGTGTAAACTAGCCGAAAATGAACGCAGACTACGTATCCCGTTTAGGGCATGGGAACCAAATGTTTGAAGAAATGTTATGCGAATCACTGAAGCCAAAGAAGATCTGTGTATACCACTATTTTTGTTAATAAAACGTAAGTGTAATGCTTGCGCAAGCTTAAAATGACAGTGCCACTGTGAACCAATAGAACACCCCATGGAACTGAAGGTACAAACGAGATACAGAATAAGGTAAGAATTCCAAGATCCAACCAACTCGGAACGAACACATTTTCATTTGTGTATTTGGCTGAACCCAAAAGCAACGTAGGCAATAAATTTCCCTGCATATATGTTGTTTTCGGGTCGGTTATCATTGACTATGAAGAAATGATCCCAAAGTTAAAAGACTCCGAGGCAAATGGCAAATAAGGACCGAAATAGACTAAAGGTGTGTAAATGTCTTCATTTGGGAATAGAAAAAGTAAACATCAATTTCATAAAAAATGATTGAAAGAAGGAAGAAATGAGACTTTCCCCTGTCAACTGCAACGTAACTGTTTTAGGTGTAACTTAGTGAATTACAGGACATCAAGCGTCATAAGTTCACTGACGGCCGTTTATCCAGAGCAGGAATACTTTCTGTCGTCATTTCATTCGCTTCTCATGATTTACACTATCCCTCGTGCAAATTAGGAAGATAACGCCTTTCTATACAATTAATGCCAATCAAAAGCCTCCACAACTCTCCCCATATTCTCCTAATTTTCAGTAAAGAACAAATCAACAGAGTCCTTTTGATGTCTGAAAAGGACCCATCACAACAGTCAGGACAAACACAATTTGGCGAAATAAGTGATTTTCAGTAATTCAGTCACAAGCCGTTTACTGATTATAGAGATAACACTAGAAAACTGATCAGATCGTTACACACAACATCAATCATGTGTAAGAGTTTATCACGGTCAACTTACTTCTGAAATTTGGTTGGTTACGGCGTCAGGGTAGCTGGACGGCGGAAAAAATCGCCCCTGATCTATCATAGACCATCAAAGTTGGAGCAACTGAACCAAATGCCTTTGGGCGTAGATGCCAGGGACAGACTTTCTTATCCCGATAGCGTCGCCTACTGCTGTAGTGAGCAGTTGAAAACTTCTTCAGTTAGCATAGGGCATAGGATAAACAACTTTGAAAGCGATCTCCGGATTTATATCATGACCGGTGTTGACTGAGAGCTGTTTGTTGATCCAGAATCCTGTAGGTCTTGCTCCAAAAAGTCGTACGTTTAACAACAAACCTTCCTTGCTCTATCTGCTTGGCAGCTCACCAAATTCCTCTTCACTTTGAGCGGTACAAATCGGCGAAAATGGATTTATTGGTGCTTCCAAGTCGCCTCCGTATATGTAATAATAATAATAATAATGTGTAATAATTGAAGTGCGCACAGATCACGGGTTACGAAGCACGTATTAGGAATCACGGACCCCACGGAAACACTGGATTACATTGGCACTTACACGTTGGGATCCCACGTAACCGAGACGCAAAGAAAAGGCCACGGAAGTAGCAATTCGTTTACTGCAATAAACCAAGGGGAGTAAATAACATAAACAAAAAAATTCATTAATTATCCAGGCATCTACCAATCGCGTGCTCGTATTCTTGGCATCGTACAGCTTCTGTCTGGGCGGCATGGCTTCTGATTGGTCGGCACAATCCGCCTATGGTTCGTTGTCCAGAAGCTGTAACGAGTAGGCTCTTTGGGAAGCTTGACTCGTCACAGTTATCCAGAAACTGTAACGTGTCGCCGCGAGGTTTGCGTCATCCGTAAGCTAGGATCACCACAAAATGCCAGTTTGTTGTTGTTTTCCATTTCCAAAACGAATTTTATGTTCTGATGAGCAGCACTGAACCTGCTCAATAGCTCGTTTTTTCCTGATTTCTTGTTGATCACGCGCAGAAAATCATCCACTTATTGTGTGTATAGAACACAATCCTGAATGGAAGACTTGAGTTGGTTCTTTTCGAGTTTTACCATTAACATATCGGCAAACAACGGTCTAAGCGGTGATCCTATGGTTACACAATCTTTTTGTCTATAAATCCGATCGTTAAACTCAAATTGGACGTTGTACTTGAAAAAATAAAGCAGTTATGCCAGGTTTTCCAAAAGAAGGGTCATCTCAACATTGTTACTTTGTACACAGCTACACAGATATTCTATGGTTTAGCTGATTGGAACATTGGTGAAGAGTGAGCTGATGTCCGGTGAGAGCATTGTCTGACCGATCAAGTTTAAGTCACGAATGCTCTTCACAAAAGCGAGTGTCCCGTACGTTAAGCCAAATCTAATGGGTTCTAGTAATTTAGCCAACCCATTTTGCTAGTACATGGTATGGTGAATTGCACATATCCAAAAGCGGTCGCAAGGGTGCTCCTTCTTTGTGTACCTTCGGTAACTCCTACAGTCTTGGAGTCGTTGTCCCATTTGGCCGGATACGTTTGAAAATGGTCGCATCGACGACTCCATTCTACCTCAAATATCTTAAGATCTTACAAAACGAAACCTCTATTTGAGCGATCTAATCCTTTTCCGTTGTTTTGATTACCATCGACCTATCACTCAGTATAGCTTCCATCTGCTCTACATAATCCGTTCGGTTTAGAAGTTCGATCCCCGCTCCTATGTTCGGGTTGGATATCGTGGTCTCTCTGTTTTTCTGCAAATTTCTTGGTCGTTTGAGATGCTTCGGTGTCACTAGTTCACTTGTTTTTGCTTTCCTATTCTGATGATGATAGATGGCATTGAATAAGGTTGATTTGAGCTTTTCCTACTCCAATGATGATGAGGGAACCAGGCCAGAGATTTATGCATATAGAGTTTCAAATTCCACCTCCAAATTAAGTTGCTTAGATATGCCATCACTGAGAGGGCATCAATCGGGACAAACGTTTACAATTTAGCTAGGGCCATTTCTATTCACATATCACATAACAAGCTCCTGAACGAACGTTTGATGGATTTTAACTACACATGCACAACTCACGCAAACTTCTAGAACCAGTTTCGGATAATCATTTCAGATCATCTGGGCAGACCGGAACTCTTAATGTGTCGACTCATACGAATATACTCGGTCAATGTGAGATAAACAATCGGCAAAACCGAGGAGGGTGTAATGCCCCAGCACTCCGAGGTGACCCTAGTGAAGAAACAGCTTGATTCAACTTCGTCATACCGAATAGGTGAATTGTGGACTAGCACCCAAGCCGGCCTTAACTGTGCTCCTCGGGATGTCGAAGGTTAGGAGCTACCGTTTGGTAGTGTGCAGTGTTCAAAAGTCTTAGATACTAATATCGGAACGCCACTTTAACGAGCAAACATGCAGTAACAAAATTCCGCAGGCTGTGAACTACATAATCAGCCAAGAAATTTATTTTTTACAGAGTGAACAAGTTGGTTTGTTTAATGCTCAATGTCAATAATAAAAAGACTCGACAAAGTTTACTTTAACCCAATTTTTTATTGAAACAAAAAAATAGATCATTCAAAGAAATCACTAAAGATATGGTAAAGAATATATAGCAGCGAATTAACCAAAACTTAGAAGAGTAACATGAGAAATGAAAATTATTGGAACCGAAGTTCAGAAAGCTGTCGAATGAAATATGGGTTAACCTCTAGATTCGCTCACAAACAAATATGTCTAGATATCCACTGCAACGTCCTGGTATTGTTGATATTCACTGATTAGATCATTCACATTGGATTCTGTAGAGACAAACTCTCCTTCATCCATTCCTTCCCCACTGTACCAATGCATAAATGCTTTACGCTTATACATGGCCGAGAATGCTTGCTGGATACGCTGGAACACAGTTTGTAATGCGGTAGTATTGGCTAAGAATGTGGCACACATTTTCTGTCCACGCATTGGAATATCACAAACAGCATTTTGCACATTATTCGGAATCCATTCGACAAAATATCGCGAATTCTTGTCTTGTACATTGAGCATACTCTCTTCCACCTCAGCCATACTTAAACGCCCACGAAACACGGAAGCACAGGTAAGAAATCGACCTTGTCGCGGATCGCAAAAGGCCATGAGATGTTTCGCGTCAAACATTTGCTGAACAAGATTGGGCACTGTGATCGCTTTGTACGGTTGATTGCCTCGACTTGCTAGGGGCACAAAACATGGTGCGAAGAAATGCAATCGTGGAAACGGGACCATATTCACAGCCAATTTACGCAAGTCCGAATTCAGCTGACCTGGGAAACGGAAACAGGTTGTCATTCCGCCAACGCAAGTGGACATAAGATGATTGATATCACCGAAGGAGGCCGAAATATTGAGCACGTTTGTACATATACTGTGAAGTGCCTCGTTGTCCAGAACCAAAGTTTCGTCGCTCAGAGATAACAGAAGATCAATGGTGAAAATCGCGTTGTACGGTTCGACAACCACGTCCGAGACCTTTAAATCGGAGGAGTACATAGATTTAAACATGTGCTAGAATAAAGCCTATTAAAACATATTTTTCGCATTTAACTCACGATTACTTGTGAGTGGGGGTGTGAGATAATTGATGTTGATTGATTTTAACTGACTATCCCTTGGACTTCACCTTCAAGCACAATACCCAGTTAACCAATTCAACCATACACTCGGAAGCACTAAACTCGAGGTTCGCTCTTATTAAGGTTCATCATCATCTATTCGTAGCTCGGTTCTCGGCCATCTCGACGCATTCAAAATTATTCACACTATACCCCGGAGATATTCCAAAGGGATAAGAAGGCGGCTTTTAACCATGGCCGAGGCGATTGCAATCCGAATTTTCAATCCAGAATTATGTAAGCAGAAAAAGCTGATCCAGACACTGTTGTTGCCCTGGCCTGGACAGCGGATTGATTGTGCATAAAACAGAGCATCAACCCCCCCCGTCCCCGTCCCTCTTTTCTCGCCTATAGTATCACCATTCCCAATCTTAAGAACTAATTTTCTTGTTTTTGTCTCTAATGTTCCTTCCTGATTACATCACTTGCTGTACATGACCTATAGTTTCTACCGTATATTAACGTAACTTCATCCCTCTCTCGTCTTAGCTCACACCCTTCATTTAATCTGCTCATCTCTCGAACGTTTGTCTATTTGACCTTTGTGTTCTCACCTCCACCCACGACGCCTTGTCATATTCTTTTGATCTGTTTGCTCGCCTCTGTCATCGTTACTAACTGAGCTCTAATCGGCCAATCAGACATCTGTATTGTGATCACCTTATATATGTAAACGCCTGATGCGATATATCGAAAAGAAATTTCTTCGCGAATACCGTTTTCTACATACATATTGTGTTGTAAAGCACAAAATGTAATTCAAAGATGGGTTGTAAATTGGGCAATAATCGATTGTGCGTTAGAGGATACTAACCTCCAACTTGGACATGAAGATATCTGCCAACGTTGGGCTCAGAGGATATCCCATTTCTACCCAATATATTGGCTATGAACATCGTCGTTAGAATTTCTGTTGTCGGTTGTGTATGCAAAAGTATGGTAATTTTTTGAGACCACCAAGGGGTATTCCACTTTCCAAATTATTTCTTTCTATTTGGTCACGTTTGTATTCAATAATTTCAGCAATGGGAACTAATAAACAGTGTGATAAGAATTGCGATGTACTGTCGTGCAGAGGACTTATGGCAAAAGAGCTTGTTCGCTACTGTGTGTTCTACTTAAAATGTGTAACGAACATACATACATTCAACTCTTAACCGAATTCTCCACAAAACGGTCAAGAAATACTCCGTGCTAGGGTGTTTTGTTTTAACGTTGTGAGTTAGTTCGTCCAATTGGGGGGCTAGCATGGGCGATAGTAGGTTCCAAGTGAGTAATGGAGGATTTCATTCAATTTCAAAGGTGAATTCGTCGTGTATATAGCAAATGCAGCGTGAAATGAAAAGCTAGGAAGCACTGGACAACCGTTTCGACCTGGTTGGGTCTCATCAGCAGTGCGAATCCATCGACCCAACTGGTGATCCCGGTGGCCATTCCTTTAGTCTTCCTCGGCCAATCCATCTGCAGTTAAATTCCGAGTCGAGGAAACGTCTCACCACCCGAGTATTGTGTGGCGGTGAACAGTCAAGTTGGAACCAAACTGTATGACTAACTTCAGCTTCTATACGCCGGATGGCAGGTACCTATTATCTTGTAACATTTGCAAGTATTAAGCGCCTTTAACAATTTAATAAGCCAAATTGTTGTTCCCTGTTAAGTTTCCGTTGTCACCTGATCACCTGATCTGTCTCCGTTGGATTTATTTCTGTGGGGATATCTGAAGCGAATAGTTTATTCCCGAAAACCGAGAACGATCGAGTATCGTGGCGCAAAGCGAAAGTATTCTAAATGCTATAATTCTGAAGGTGGAAGAAAACCATCTTCACCGGATTTCGCTATGTAGGCAGCAGAGTGGAAAACATATTGAACAACTTTAATAATATGAATACAATTTTTTCCGTAATATTTGTTCCCTCTTTCTTTCGGAATTCTATCTCCAACGTAGTTAGCGAGATCGTTCAACGCGAAAACAACCAGTTGGGAAAAAAGCAGAGCTTTGCGTGGGCCTACATTAGGGGATATTGTTGTCCGTTATTAAGAGAAGTTCAAAATTTCATTATGATTATCTGTTTACTGAACCCACTTGGAAAAAAATAGTGCGTGTATTTTAGACGAGTCAAGCGTCGGTCCCGCGTCATCATCGCTTGAGCATTTCCCATTCTAATTTCTCACATGGCGCACCGCTCCACAACTGATTCCCTTGTGATGATTCTCTACCAACACTTAGGCAGCCTCGGATTCAGAACGTATCCTCTTCCTGTGCCGGCCCGAAAATTACACGACCGATCGGGTTCGTTTATCGATCGGTCGGATGGTTCAGCAGTAACAAGGGACCTGGTGCCTGCCCAGCTAACCCGAGTGAGAA